ACTACGGTGCCCAGAACTGGGCACAGTATTCCAGATGTGGTCTAACCAAGGCAGAACAGAGGGGTAGCATGACTTCCTTAGATCTAGACACGATACTCCTATTTATGCAGGCCAAAATCCCATTGGCTTCTTTTGCCGCCGCATCACATTGTTGGCTCATGTTTAACTTGCCCACTCCAAATGTTTGAAGATTGCTGTACCATCTTCTGGGACAAGATTTCCAAAAGGGCCTTTTGTGGTATAGCCATTAAACTTAATTGGTGTTGGAATATAAAGCATTCAACTGAGGAATGTGATCTGAAAGAACAAGCCAATTCCTAAGGTATACAAGTACAGCTTGCTTATATCTGTTTTGCCAAGAAATATAGTGGCTTGTCACTGCTTTATGATTGAGCAGAAACATAGTCAGCAATCTGGTTATTTGAAGAATCCATTCAATGTTTTTTTAATGAGTGATTAAAACAAGAGCTCCATATCCAGATGTGTGAGCAAATTGAATCCAGCCAGGCACCAGATTTCTGGTATCCTGAAAGCACAGCCATCTCTGTATGTATTTTTATTAATTGGATCTAATATAAATCTTAGTGAAGATCCTTTTTAGGATAAATGAAATATTAATGCAAGTCTGGATTGAATCACTGGTTATTTTTACTGCTAGGAAGGCTATGAAGAGCAGAAATTTGTCAAAAGTTTGTACCAAAGGCTCAATTATCACCTTGAGGCTGTGCAATTCTAATGGAACCAATAGCAGTATGCTATACTTAGACCATGCCAAGCTTATAGCAAATACGAAGGCTGTGCAGATTATCGAGTTTTGTCATTTTGTTCGAAATTGAATGCTTAAGAATAACCAAACAGTAAAATAATGAGCAAATTGGCAATTTGAAAACTCTAGCCTGAATTCTGTTGCGAAGCCTTATTGGAATATACCCATTTAATTGATGAGACTTATTTATGTGTTGGCTTATCATTTTATAATTGAACATTTTTTGGTCGTGTCAGGAGCGACTTGGGAAACTGTAAGTTGCTTCTGGTGTGAGAGAATTGGCCGTCTGCAAGGATGTTGCCCAGGGGACACCCAGATGAATTGATGTTTTTATCATCCTTGTGGGAGGCTTCTCTCATGTCCCTGCAAGAGGAGCTGGAGCTGATAGAGGGAGCTCATCTGCCTCTCCCCGGATTCGAACCTGCGACCTGCCGGTCTTCAGTCCTGCTGGCACAGGGGTTTAACCCACTGCGCCATTAATAATCCTACAATCATGAGAAAATAATCCTACTAAATGCAGTTGCACTGGATTTATGCTATGTAAAACTATAATAATAATAATAATAATAATCATCATCATCATCATCATCATCATCATCTTTATTTATATTCCACCTTATCTCCCCGAAGGGACTTTCCTTAATGGAAAACTATAAATTATTTGTAAAACTATAATTATTTGCATGTATACATTTCAAAAAGAATGGAGCTTAGTGATCCTTCGAGATTGAAAAAATATGCAGAATTGGATATATGTAAAAATAATATCGTATTCAAGATCAAATTTAGAATTATTAATTTAAAAAAGGACTTGGAAGTCCTTGAACAACCTCATAAGTGGAGTGGGCAGATCAAAAGACAAACTGGCAAAATTGAACTATGTAAAAGAATCATCCACCTTGTGCCACTGTGGAGCAGAATCAACTCTATTTCAGTATGCTTGTCCACAATGCCCTGCCTCATGTACAGAGGTAGAATTGTTTAAAGCTATAGACAATGTGGTCAATGTTGCCTGGTTTTGGTCAAAAATTATTTAGCCACTTTTGCTCCTTCTATTTTTATCAGTTTTATACTTACGTATGCAATACTTTTGACATGAAATAAATAAAAAAATGAAAAAAAGAAGACAGAGTTAGTATACTAATTGGAAGTAATATCTCACTTATGTTTAACTTAGGGTTATTGGCATAGTGTTTAGTGTTTCAATGTATTCTACAATCTTTCATCTTTTAGTTGTACGAACATGTATACTGTGACGCTCTGATTCTGTACAGTCTGACTGCTGCTCAATGTTGTCTAAACTGTATATGTTAAATTGTTGTTGTATACATTAAATATACAGTGATTAAATATTGCAGACTCTTTACAAAGACAGGATTAAATGTATTTCCCTCAGAACTGCTAAGAGGCAGATTGTCTGGAATTGCCCCTGTGAAGGAAATGTAATAGAAACAATTGAACGCATTTTATTGTAGTGCCGCTACTACACAGTGCAATGTAGCCAACTTTTATATCCAGTCCTGTCCTGCAGGACCAGCCATCCCCCGCAGAGGATTGTTAGATATCTTTTAGAGGACAAGTGTCACAGGGTGACTTTCATAGTGGCAAAATTCCTCGTAGTGGCAACAAGGCTGAGAAAGCAACTAATCTCTGATAAGGGTATTACTTGAAACCATGTAGATGTATCTTCTACAATGGACTTCTCCTGAGATGGGAGAATTCATAATGACAGTTGGTTTTACTGATGGGTCTATGGACCGTAAAAATTATTGTTGTATACGTTACATAATAATTTATTAAAAAGAAAAAAGTGTGATCCTCTTCTTTTAAGGCTTTAATTCAAAATTAGGAATGTTTTTCCTGCTTTGAAATGTTACACCAGCATATTGGAAGATTGTGTCATCATTCATTACCACTTTATTTTTTAAATTATCAGTGTACTTTATCCTGGTATTGAAAGAAGCTGACACATGGGACTTTGAGTGGATGTTAACACACATCCAACCATTAAATATACTGCCTAATTGATTATCTAGTGTAGCGTCTATAAACTAGATTTTTTCCTTATATACCTATTATTTAAAAATATCTACTCTAGAAAAATATTATTTATATTCCAGCCACTGGATAGCTTTAAATTATTTTTGGCATTTATATTTTAACATAAGAATTGCAAAAAATTATTAAAAATTAATTAAAAAAATAAGAATTGCAAAAATTAATTTAAAAATTATTTTGTCATTTGGGAGTTGTATTTGCTGGGATTTATAGTTCACCTACAATCAAAGAGCATTCTGAACCCCACCAACGATAGAATTGGGCCAAACTTGGCACACAGTTCTCCCATGATCAACAGAAAATACTGGAAGGGTTTGGAGGGGAATGTCCTTTGGTTTTGGAGATGTAGTTCACCTACATCCAGAGATCACTGTGGACTCAATGATGGATCTGGACCAAACTCTACATGAATACTCAATATGTCCAAATGTGAACACTGGTGGAGTTTGGGAAAAATAATATCTTGACATTTGGGAGTTGTAGTTGCTGGGATTTATAGTTCACCTACAATCACAGAGCATTCTGAACCTCACAAATGATAGAATTGGGCCAAACCTCCCACACAGAACCCCCATGTGGGCCACAGCAATGCGTGGCAGGGGACAGCTAGTTATCACTAACATTGCTATGGATTTTGAAGAGGCACAAATACAGGGCAAAAGGGGGAAATGTGCTAAAAGGAAGGTGTGTCAAGCAAACCCTTGTTGGGGATGTCTTCTATCTGAAAATGTATGTCTTCATTACAAAAGACTATGGGGATCCAGAATAGGTCTCTACAGTCACTTATGCACCCACCATGAGACTCTACCCTTGGAAGACTATCATACTTACCCACGAATGGTAGCCTATGATGATATGATACATTTTTGCTTTACAGAGATAATGGGATAGACTGGACTCTTTCATTTTCTGAGTTTTTAGCACCAGCACTTAACATTTCTTCCCACAATCCACAGGCATCTACCAACACTGTAGCACAGATTGTTGTGAATTTGATAGGCGTCTGCTCCGTACAGTCTTATGCCGTAATACACTCTAGTCTTTAAGGAACAATCTAAGCAATGTTTTCTAAATTAAAAAATGGTTTTAGTATCAATTTTAATATTGTTAAAATCTGAAATGGAAGTACACAAGAAGGCACTTCAAAAAACTATCAAGTATTTTGTTCTTTGGAGATTATCAAGATCTACACAGTAAATGCGCATCTACTCGGGAAATACTTACAAAGCAGTTGAAGCCAGATGAGAACAGCCTTGGCATATTGCCAATAATGGGAAATCTTACATAACACATTTGCATTTCCAGGACAAACAGGTCTGCTAGACTCATTTACATGATCCTTCTTTGCCTTGTTAGATTTCGAAGTGCAAAATGTAGTCTGCTGTCCTTTCATTTTGGCTTTTTCAGTTTCCTAATCACTGTAATCTCGGTTCTTTTTAAAAGGTAGAAAAACACTAACAGGCTTGTTAACTGTTCTCATTTGAATTGTTATGCTATGGAAATGTGCAAGGAGTGCTATATTTTGGCATCAAGGTGGCACACCTATCTAAATATCCAGGTAAGAATCTGAGGAAGGGAGAACAAAGTCTCCTAAAGAAATTCCCAGTGAAACTAAGGGTTGGGTTGCTGTGATTTTGCCGGGCTGTATGGCCATGTTCCAGAAGCATTCTCTCCTAACGTTTTGCCCTCACAACATCTGAGGATGCCTGCCACAGATGTAGGCAAAATGTCAGGAGAAAATACTTCTAGAACATGGCCATACAGCCCGGCAAACTCACAGCAACCCAGTGATTCTGGCCATGAAAGCCTTCGACAACAAACTAAGGGTTGCTTGAAATCCTATGGATTCCCTAGACTGACAAAACTTATTCATAGCAAAAGATATGAAACCCGAGTATGGATCATTTTGTGTGCCATTTGCATGCACCTATTTCAGAGCATGTGTGGGGAAACTGTGCACCTGCAAGTGGTGCTTCTGGCACAATTGGTGCACCTGCAAGTGGTGCTTCTGGCACAATTGGTGCACCTGCGAGTGGTGCTTCTGGCACAATTGTCACTGACATTATATTCTATGCATTTTGCTATACAGAAATGACTTTTCAGAGAAGAGAAAAATATCTTGTTAATAATGCCCCCAAGTTCCTGAGACTCATGATAGGAGAAATAATGGTATAGCCTGATCTGAGTTGTTCATTTGGACACAAGAATGCAGTCCCAAACACTCTTTAAGCTAGGTAAACATACTGTCACCTTATGATTCTATCACTAAAGATAAAAATGTTTGCAGGACTATAATTCTAAACATAATTACATGGAGGCAAAATCCACTTAAAATTTATAGGTTTTGCTTTTAACTTTAGATTTGCCTAGAAGTCTTAAAATGCTCAGATTAACACCTGAAATCTTGCTTCTGATTCAGAGTATACAACTCTGGCATAACATCAGAAGTCTTCTTCTTCATACAGTGTTTCCAGTCCTGCTTTACAAGCTGTTGCAGGAAGAGATGTGGAGGATTCTTCCTTCTGCATAATAACCAATGACACTCAGAGCAACATGATTCACTCATCAGCTTTCTGGTGATAGCTGCATAGTGTGACAAGAAAAACAATCCTCCAGCTACAGGCACTTGTGTGGGGAAATAAGAAATTACTCAATGACTCTGGCTCAATGTATGCTTAAATTGACACTTGAAGAAGAGGAAGCCAAATATGAATATGTGTATTAAAAAAAGTAAAATAAGACAGTTTGAAAAAAATCTCTATCCCACATTAACTTTACAATAGTTCTTCAGTCCTGGAGCATAAAGAGCTATGTCCTAAAATCACAGGAAGCTACATGTTTTGACTGAAGGTAACGAGAAAGTGGTTGGAACAATGGCCTTTATATCACTACTCAGCAGACTCTTAACTCATTTTCCAGTCCATAGATTTTGGACTTTAAATTTCTCAGTTCCCCTTGAATCTTTTTCGTTCTCTTATTTCCCTGACGGACCTCTTGGAGAATTGCAAGGTCTTGGTCTGGCCCCACTGTCATTGCCACCTGAAAAGGGAGAAATAAAACAAGAAAAGAACAGGCAGATGGTTACAAAAGCAGGATGAGATGTCTCCAGCCCCCCCCCCCCCCAAAAAAAAATCAGGGAAAAATTTGGAATCAAGTTTCGTTACAGTTAATTATTTTAACGTTCATGTATTTGGAATTTACTTTGGAATATGTCATCAACAGTGTTCTTTAAGCAGGATCTTTCACTCAGAGCAGTTGAAGGCACTGGAAGATGAAATCTCTTTATATTATACTCAAATATTTCAATAGAATCACAGGGTTGGAAGAGACCTCCTGGGCCATCCAGTTCAACCCCCTGCCAAGAAGCAGGAAAATCACATTCAAAGCACCCCCAACAGATGGCCATCCAACGTCTGCTTAAAAGCCTCCAAAGAAAGAGCCTCCACCACACTCTGGGGCAGAGAGTTTCACTGCTGAACAGCTGTCACAGTTAGGAAGATCTTCCTAATGTTCAGGTGGAATCTCCTTACCTGTACTTTGAAGCCATTGTTCCATGTTCTAGTCCCCAGGGCAGTAGAAAACAAGCCTTCTCCCTCCTCCCTATGACTTCCCCTCACATATTTATACATGGCCCTCATGTCTCCTCTTAGCCTTCTCTTCTGCAGGCTTCATACACCCAGCTCTTGAAGCCGCTCCACATAGGGCTTGTTCCCCAGACCTTTGATCAATTTAGTCACTCTTCTCTGGACATATTCCAGCTTGTCAACATCCCCTTTAAACTGCGGTGCCCAGAATTCCAGGTGTGGTCTGACCAAGGCAGAATAGAGGGGTAACATAACTTCCCTGGATCTAGACACTATACTCCTATTTATGCAGCCTAAAATCCCATTGGCTTTTTAAGCTGCCGGATTACATTGTTGGCTCATGTTTAACTTGTTGTCCACAAGGACTCCAAGATCTTTTTCACATGTACTGCTATCAAGTCGGGCATCCCCCATTCTGTATCTTTGCATTTCATTTTTTCTGCCTAAGTGGAGTATCTTGCATTTATCCCTGTTGAACTTCATTTTGTTAGTTTTGCTCCTGTCTTCTGAGGTACTGGCTATCCCTTCCAATTTAGTGTCATCTCTAAACTTGATGATCATGCCTTCTAACCCTTCATCTAAGTGATTAATAAAGATGTGGAACAAAACTGGGCCCAGGATGGGACCCTGCGGGACTCCACTTGTCACTTCTTTCCAGGCTGAAGAGGAAGAATGGGTGAGCATCCTTTGGGTTTGTCCGCTTAATCAATGACAGATCCACCTAACCATAGGGTTAATATGATCTTAATATGGTATCAGTATGAAGTCAACAGTGCTACAAGTTCCGTTGCCAAGGAATGCCACAATGGAGGTGGCTTTCTCCAATTTCCACATGCAGCTTATTGCTCCATTAATGGGACCCAGAAGGCCTCTTCAGTAGATCTCAGTTCTCAGGCTCCAAACAATTTAGGGCTGTAAGTTATTACCAACACCTTGGATTCAGCGTGAAATTAGCATCCAGCGTAAGTCCTTTGAAACTGGTGTTCTATACACTTTTCTGGGCAGGAATCCATCTGATGTATTTTGAATTATCTGCAGATTCTGAATAGTTCTTCAAGGGAAGTCCCAACTACAGCAATTTGCAGCAATCTAATCAGAAGGTTATCAGAGCATGAAGTACAGTAGACTATTTTTATACATGAAAGTCTCAAATTAGTCAACCAGCCAATGAACATGTATTCTTGCCATATATTATTTTCACTTGCTATGCACAACCTTCTTCATATGGCAGGCAGACATTAGGAGCCAGGCATTTTTGTTAGTGGCACCTGGGTTGCTAAATGTTATTTTAATTTTTAACTTGACCAAAAAGTAGCTCTTTGAAATTAACAACCCTAAATTCTGATGGGACATTCCAGAAGAATCACAGAAACAAATACTAAACATGTGCTATTACAACTGGACCCTATTTCTGTCCTTTTGGTTCTAATGGCAATTACCTTGAAAAGTTGTTTTTCAACATCCTTCACCCTTTGTCGAAGTAATTTAATGTCAGTCTTGAAACCTTCCACCTCCATGGCACGCCGTTTTTCTAAAGCCTCATAGCGCTGGTTCATTAGTTGTAGGCGGTTCCCCATCTTTTCTGAGCGTTCCTGCAAATGTCAAAGCAAACATGTTTCAGGAGGGGGATAGATAGCCCATGTAGACAGAGGCTCCAAAAAATTGTGTCAAGAGGCATCCAAGGCATTACCTTGAAGATCTCTCTCCCCACGTCTCCTTCTTCCTGAATCTTGGCCAGCTGCTCCTCCAGGGAAATACATTGCTCTCGGTACATATTTGTCAAACGTTGCTCCTGTGCTAATTGCTCCTGTAGTCTCTGGAAATGAGATTTTAAAAAACTAGGATTATGTGGCGTTATAACCAGTGTTTTGTGTACAATTGCTTTCTTTCTTAACAGCAGCACAATGACAACTGGGCCATTGAATAATTAATTATATGACATAGATAGGTACCACAAGGAGCAGCCTGATGGATGCTATGTTATGGTTGGGTGCCTTCCATAGTTTCCAAAATGTGGCAACCATAAGGTGAAACTATCATGGGGTTTCTTAGCAAGACACAACCATGACAGGTTCAGAGAGGGGTTTCCTTTGCCTTCTTCTGAGGATGGAAGGGGGTGACTTTTCCAAGGTCACCAGTGGGTTTCCCTGGCCAAGTGAGGATTCAATCCCTGATCTCCATAATCGTGGTCCACTGTTCAAACCAAACCACTAGGTCATGCTGTTTCCTTTAAAAAGTGAGTGGCTCAAAACAGTGCCAACATTCTCAAACAATGTTCTAATTGCAACTCATTAAAGATGTAAACAATCAACAGGCATGGCGCACCAAACTGCAGGACTCTCAGTATTGCATTCTGGATTGAACAAGACATCCAATCCAGGTGGATGTTATTATATTTAGCAGATATTCAAACATAACTTGATGCTATTATATAATATACTGATTCTAATAGTTGATGTTGGCTGCACAGTTCACAAATCAATCATTTGAAACAATATTGATGTACCCTGGTATTTTTAGATCTGAGAATGAACAAAAATCTACGTTTAGAGATGAAAACTCAACTGTACAGCATGTATGGATTTCATGCCATGGGACAACAGATTCACAGTTTTCATATCCTGCCTAAAATCTGTCTTTTTGTTGTTGTTAAATGTGTACCTTAGCTCTGACAGCCACTCTGGAATATATGTCTAGACATGATTTTAAATGGTTCTTCACTTACTATTTTTGCCTTACAAATTCTATTTGCCTAAATTTATTTATTATTTATCATGTCAGGAGCAAACCAAACAGTTGTATTGTATTTTTAAAACACACACACACAAAGTTTGCAAACTTGGCATTCTTTTAAATGTCCTTTGACCAGTAGCTGACCACTTGGAGCACCTCTGGTGTTGCTATAAGAATACCATTGTGCATGTAGTAGGGCTCAGGTTGCATTGTAGTAGGTGGTCTGTGGTTTGATCTTCTCCACACTCGCATGTCATGGATTCCACTTTGTAGCCCCATTTCTTAAGGTTGGCTCTGCATCTCGTGGTGCCAGATCGCAGCCTGTTCAGCGCCTTCCAAGTTGCCCAGTTTTCTGTGTGCCCAGGAGGGAGTCTCATTTGGTATCAGCCATTCATTGAGGTTCTGGGTTTTAGCCTGCCACTTTTGGACTCTCACTTGCTGAGGTGTTCCATTGAGTGTCTCTGTAGATCTTAGAAATCTTTTTCTTGATTTAAGGAGTTGGTGTGTTGGCTGATATCCAAACAGGGGATGGGCCGGGGATAAATGAACCTGGGTTTTGAGGAGAATTGTATAATCTCTTCCATCTTTTATCAATTCTTAATTGTACTCCAGTTTCTACCTTTCCAATCAGACTAAGCCTATAGCTTTGTCCCAGAAAGAACAGGGGAAATTATCTGTATCTTATTTGAAGCAAACAGTTATGTGTTTGTGAAGCTATTTCCAACATTATTTGGCCTTCTTTCATTCTTCCCAAGACCTAAACCCAGTTAATAAGCTACAACAAAAGTTGCATTGCCCTAAGTGTACTGAGGAAAAGCATGATATACCGAGGCACTGTCTCTATCAGGATGCATACAACTCTCATTCATATAATTGAACAATTAAGAAATGTTTCTAAATGCTGAAGTAACTCTAAAAAGCAGCACCTGTCCAGAGAAGACAGTGAAACATTCCATAAAAATACAGTTACTCACAGCAACTATTATTACCTTAATCTCTGCACCATATAGCTTATGGCATTCATATTCTGCTCGAGAAGTGGGTCTGGCATCCTTTCTCTGGTTTCCTTCTAGCGTCTTGCAGGAAGATGCTTGCTGACATGGACTGTTGTTGCCCCACTCATCTGGGCTACTGTCCAAACTCTGGCTGATGTCCACTTTTCCCTGACCATCCTCCCGCCGAACTCTCCTCCACTTTGCACCTTTGCTTTTGTCCAGCTTCCTTAGGAGGGCATCCTTCTCAGCCATCCAAGATTTCTCATTTGCCCGTGCATCAAACTTCATCTGGAGAAAATCTCTGGTGCTCTCATACAACATGTTCTGAGCTTTGTGATATCTAGAGAGAGGACAGTGAATTAATAACTGGCTTATTTCCCACCCAATCCATAACTCCCTCACAAACCTAGGTAGGAAATGGCCACAATACCTGCCACAGTTCGATAGGCATCAAGGGAAAAAAGATTTACCCTTGTTTAATACATTTTCGTGTAGGTAGGAACTTCAGATCGGGAAATTATGTCCTTGCTTTAGGACAGGAAATACCATGTGATGACTGGAAATATAACACTGCATATTCAGGTAAAATCACTAGTCCATCTAAGTACAGAACATTTTATTCTAATTGGCAGAAGCTCTGAATGCCTGTCAGACAAGTGTTTGCAATACCTGAGATGACAGAGACTGAACCTGGGAACATGTAGCTATACAAATTGAAATGCTCCATCATTGAGCTATGGATCACACTCCCAAACAAAATATAGTGGGAATCCACAGAGAAAGCCATCTCTTCTGCACAGGAGTACAAACTCTTGATGAGGAGTAGGAAAAGGATGTCTATGGAAGTCAAGTTTAAGTAATTTTCTGTTTGGGAAAAAAATCAATTCCTGAGTCCTAAAATGGTCAGGATAGGGCTGAAAGAAGTGCCTCAACTGACTCCCTGCCCCTTAGGGTATGCTGGAAGAAATGCAGACTTCAATGAGGCATGTCCATTGTATGTGGCTCACCAAACTCCCTAGGGCTTCCTTAAGTCCCACCAATTGCCAGCCCCTGCCCAACATCATAAGTAAAAGTCCACTTAGCAATCCAGTATGTCATCAATAGAACTATCCAGACAATAAGTTCTATATAATCACTCTATGACTGTAAACTACAGGGCAGTACAAATATGATCGTGGTGTTCCCAGTATGTCATCTGCCCGTCCTCTCCCCCCCCCCTACCTTATTCTTGTTTTTAGAGACAGAAGATGCTGCCGAGCTTCTCGCCGTATCAAATCAACACCAATGGGAGCAATAAACACAGCTATGACAAAGCTGAGCAGCACTTTCTCCATTATAACCATGTCTATTTTCTAATATGCATGCAGACTCTGATCAAAGCAGGACATTATCCCTCCCACCTACTTTTCTGTAAGTTCTTTGATCTTATCCTGATCCCTCTGATGCTGGACTTGTGTTTCCTCTATGCGGATTCGCCTGTCCTCTAGTAGGGCTTCAGTCTGCTCCTTGGACAGCTTGGCCTGTTCCTCTAGTTGAGCCTGAAGAGCTTCCACCTTGATCAAGATAAAAAGAGAGAATCTGAACCTGTGATCAAGTTCTCCAATAATTTTATCTGCTGTATTCTTAAAGGTGTTACAGTGGGCTCTCAGTCTCCACTGGGGGTTGGTTCCAGGACCCCTCTATGGATTAAAAAAATCAATTGATGCTCAAATTAAGGCTCCTTTTAGAGTCTGTATTATAGAACCAAATATCTGCTACCCTGATTGAGAATTCTATGTATTTCAATAGAACTAAGCTGCACTAGAGATCAGATGAGTGATCTACTCAATCAGCCCAGTTTATTCTTTAGTTTTTAGATTGTACTATTACCATTGAATCCTTGCTGTAAGCCGGTCTGAGTCCCTATATGGAGATTGAGAAGATCGAGATATAAAAGTTTAAAATAAATAATATAATAAATAATAGTGTGAGACCTAATAAAACCCAGTAGCACAAAATCACATACAGTAAACAGTTACCTGTAATAAGAGAGTTTGATCATCTGTCACGTATCTATCCCCATTTTCTGGTTTCTCCCCCTTTGCTGTTGATTTTGAGGTAGAGCATTTAATTCCTAAAGTAGAAATAAAAATGTAACTGATTAAATGTTCTGTCATTCTTTTCAAACCTAGATCAGTTTTTCCCACGAGGAATCTTTCTAGGCCACACTGGTGAATATAACATGAAAAGTGACCTTCAATTCATATTATCCACGAACAATCACAGAATAGAATCATCAGAAGAAAGAGGCAAATTTGGTAAACTCATGTGTTTCTCACACATCCTAAAGATCTCTGAAAGCTTCAGACCTTGGTGAGAATTGTTATGTTTCCAATACCTGTTTTTAAAGCAGATTTATTTTGATCATGGAAATCTCTTTTCTTGATTGGCTTCTGAGGAATAGTGACCTGTAGGAATCAAAACAACTTGCTCATTTTGGGTTGAGAAAACAGTGCAGGGTTTTATTCACTTTAGTCATCCAACATACATTACAACAATATTAATGCTAAGCCTTGTGTCAGATTTTTTTAAATTAAAAAAAATTCCTTTCTTTCTATCCCATAATTCTACCAATATTGGGACTCCAGGTAAATTAAGGCATCAGCTTGCCTCTTTGTTCAAGTACTGATGCCTTGGGACTGGGCCTCTGATGTGACAATGGATGTGTCCATTTGTGGTTAAGACACAGGTAGATTTGGATACACAAATAAGGTGGAATTATAGCTTAACTAACTGTAAGTTAACTTACATCTTCTAGCTTCAAAATGAGGAGGTAATACCAATTTATCAGATGATCAATTTATAGGAGCATATACGTTATTTCAAGACAAAAAGGGAAGCTAAAAGGAGTAACAAATCCAAATACTGATAAGGCCATAGGCTTTTTGAAGCAGGTATCTGAGAAAGGGAACTTTGCCCATGAAAGCTTAGTTTTCAAAGTATTACTATTTCAATTAATATAACTAAAAAGCCCTTTCTTCTGGCTGCATCAATACTGTGGAACAATTTGCCTGTAAAGGCTCAGGTGCCTCCCTGTAAGGTGTTTGTCCACAACTCTGTGAAACACTGCTAGCTATTTGTCTGATGTGTTTTACAGAAAGATATAATGGGGAAAAAAGAAAAGAAAAATGTACAATTAAATAAAAATGTTTGTAGGTCCACTGAGACCACTTTACCTTGTGTGGTGGCTCTTTGTGAAAATAGGTGATTTCTCCATTGTCACTTCCGACTAAAGCCAAAAGGTGCTGGATTTTCTTTCTGTCCTCCAACTCCCTGGAATTCATTGAAAAGAAGATAGATAGACACACACACACACACACACACACACACACACATATATCTCAGTTGGAACAAAGACCAGTTGCAGTACCCCATTTTTTGATGTTGAATACAACAACAAATTACAAAAAGGCCAACTAACAATTGAGAACAAAGAAACAAATGTCTGTTTACATACACTGGAGGGGTTCTTTGGTCCTTCTGAATCTTCTGGATTACTCCATAAAGCTCATGAAAATTTACAGTTCATAAAAGGCACCAAAGCACAAATATTTCTAATATTTGTCTCCCTGCCCTTCATCTTAGAAATGTTATTTATTCTGCATGGAAGTGCAGCAGAATATAATGGGTCAACTATTAAAACACACTGCAGTGATAGCAAATAAATAATAAATGATGAATAAAATTATTCTGATCCAAACTTTGACTTTCCAATATCATCCAGACAATGTTCAGATAAGACTATCAAAGGTGGAATGGTGACTGTTCAAAATGAGGATTATTTTTATATTACTTTTGACAAAGCACACCTACTGCCATTGTATGTAGTAAAAAAATCCTTTGAATAATTTTACAATGTTAGTATCAAAGCACAAATATAACAGAAATGCTTTGGACAACCTTCCTTGAACATGAATCTTGCTGTTGAATTAACTTTTCCATTTAGAAGTTATATGTAGCAGCATCTCTCATAATGAGACCTTTAAAACTACAGTTGCCTTGTTTTTTACTCGGGTTCTATTTTGAAATGGTCATATGACTGGTCAAATAAATAAATTATTATTATTATACAGTTGGTGTATGAAAATGTATTTGGTGAAATCAACAAGCTGCATTACAGAAATAAGTTTGGAATCAAAATATTTAAATGTAATATTTGTTAAAACTACATATTATACGAAACAATATGGAACAAGCAGGGATGTCACAAATCTGTTCTGTTTAGAATAAAAAACAGGCATGTAACAGAAAATAACAATTGCTCTTAGTCCTAAATTTATACAAAAATATTTGTCTCCTATCCAGCTTGGATCTGGATATTTATATTCAGCTTTATGTTTCAATCTTGTTGACAAGAGTGAACCTGCTGGTAAGAGGGGCATAAATAGTGATCTATTAAGTCAGAATCTGCAAGGCACCATCATGCCGTCTGGTTTCAGTATTATTTAAAAACAACAGGACAGCATAATGAACCTGAGATATAGCTGTAGCAAAAAGATCAAGCAAGGTTGGCATAAAATAGCACAGCTGATGTTAACTTGCATTCACTGCTAACTTAAATCAAGCTACATCAAGAAAGGAAAGGAGAAGTAAACAATACAATGATCTGTCATTCATTTTATGCTCCGCATTTTTGTCTGAGATCTGTGCTTGTGCAACTAAAACAGAGGAATCATAGGCAAAATAGAGAGACAAAACGGAAGCATACTACTCCCACATTCAGATATTCTCTATACTGTTAAAACTTTATATCCAATTGTATGAAGCACACCTCCACAGACAAGTGGAACCCTATGTGCTTTCTTCAGTTTTCACTCTTGCACCAACCATGACAACAAACCTGATTTTCAGCCGATCATTCTCAGCATAAAGACGCAGCACATGCTCTCTCTCCTGGAAGAGGTAAACTTGCATGTCACTCAAAGCCTTCTGCAGTTCTGCAATTTCTTCTTCACGTTGCCGCATCTCCCATTGTAATTTGTGCTGTGTGGGGAAAAAATGGAAGCATGTCACTGAACACTTGGCAATTGAAGCAAAAGTAAAATGGAAACATGCAACTTCCCAGAATCAAGTGAGTCTTTAGTAACTTGTATGAAGAGCAAATGTAATCTAGGGAAGACATGGTAGTTTTGGCAGACTAAAATAGTTTTGTGAAGGTTCTCTGCACCCATATCAGTCTCACCCATTTCAGCTATTACCTCCCACCAGTTCTCAATCCTAGTCTTCACACTTGTCACCACTTTGAGTACCACTCTTGGGAGAAAAGCGGGATAAAAATAAATAATAATAATGGCAATTCTTCTCAGCATCCTGGATCAAACCATACTGGTTGCAACACCGTTCTGCTTCCTATTTTATGCTTCACTAGTGCAACGTATGCATAATGGGGAAAGGATTGTTAAAAGTACCACAGGTAGAAGGCATGTTTGCAACCTTCTAGTGCTGTTTCCAGAAAGTGTTGGATACTAAGTGTAGGTTTAAAAGCCACAATATGATGATTTGAAAGAGAAATGAGGCATGATATTGCCAAGTGACTTTATTGACATTTTCTCCACTCTCTTTGTCCTGGGGAACATGGGTAATTTATCCTGCAGCAAGCTACATAACTCAAGCGACCAATATAAAAGATATGGTCTTGTGCACTTTGCCTCTCACTGTGCATACAAGGGCTGCTCTTGATATTGTGGGTATCTCCTCCTGCTGGCAAAGGAGGTGCCTTGAAGACAAGAAGCACAACATTGGTCCACTGCAAGAAACTACCTGTGTTGCAATTTGTTCCCAAAAGGAGGGAATAGAAAGGAGGTGAGAGTAACAAAACAACAAAGATGTGCAAAAGGCTGCAGGTTTATGATTTACTTGTACGCAGCAGATACACATGTATGTCCACAGGCTTTGAGTTTCTTTGAGACATATGGCAGACAGCTTATTGGCTGGAAAAGGACAAACAAGATTCTGGGTTGTTGTAGGTTTTTTTGGGCTATATGGCCATGTTCTAGAGCAGGGGTCCTCAAACTTTTTAAACAGAGGGCCAGGTCAAACTCCCTCAAACTGTTGGAGGGCTGGGTAATAATTTGAAAAAAGCATGAATGAATTCCTACACACACTACACATATCTTTTTTGTAGTGCAAAAACACTTAAAAACAATACAATAATTAAAATTAAGAACAATTTTAACAAATATAAACTTTTTAGTATTTCAATGGGAAGTGTGGGCCTGTTTTTGGCTGATGAGATAGGATTGTTGGTGTTGTTGTGTGCTTTCAAGTTGTTTCAGACTTAGGTTGAACCTGAGCAAGGGCTGGGTAAATGACCTTGGGGGGGGGGCGCGTCTGGCCCTCGGGCCTTAGTTTGAGGACCCCTGTTTTAGAGGCATTCTCTCCTGACATTTCGCCAGGCGAAACATCAGGAGAGAATGCCTCTAGAACATAGCCATATAGCCCGAAAAAACCTACAACAACCCAGTGATTACGGCCATGAAAGCCTTCAACAATACATTAAACAAGATTCTCATCTTGATTTTTAAAATCATGTCTGGTTGCGAAAGCTTATGACACCAATTTTCAATCAAATGTGGTGCCAGTTTGATTTAATGGAAATTAGAATTCATTCCTTAGGACACTGAATGAAACTAAGGACTAAGTGGTGGAGAAGGGATGACACCCAATCCCAGGGCAATACCTTTTAAAAATCACATATTGCTCTAGAAGTTAAGGCAATCAGGGTTTTAAATGCTAAGAGTCTCTCCCTGGTTATTAATTTTCATGACCAAAGCCAAGCACCATGATTGATATCTATTTCTTTGAGGCTTCAAAATGGAACAATGCTTTCCACTTGAATTTCCCCAGGAAAAAAAAAATCAAGATGTTTGTAAGAAAAGAAATACAAAATTAACCAGCAGGGCAGTGGGAATGGTACTCCGGATAAGACAGTACTGTAGGTCCTACCATTCTTCTCTAATGATTATGTTGTTTAACACTGTTAGGGGTTGTAGTCCAACAACAACTTGAGGACTGCACAATTTCCCTACTTATAGTAACTGCTTGTTCAAAATATTAAAGGTGCCTACCAATTCACCCATTTCCAGCTTCCTAATATCTACAGAGATACTTGCAGAACACCTCAGCAGGGAAGAGTCCAAAACTGGTAGGCTAAAACCTGGAACCTCATTCAGTGGCTGATACCAGATGAGAAACTCCCCTCTAGGAACACAGAAGACTGGGTGACTTGGAAGGAACTGAACAGATTGCGCTCTGGCATCAGATGCAGAGATAATTTTAAGAAATGGGGCTACAAAGTGGAGTCCACGGCATGGGAGTGTAGAGAAGAGCAAACTACAGACCACTTACTACAATGCAATCTGAGCCCTGCCACAGGCACAATGGAGGACCTTCTCACAGCAACACAGAGGCACTCCAAGTGGCCAGTTTCTGATCAAAAAACATTTAGTATAACTTTGTTTGTGTTTTTTTCTTTACATTATAACTGTATTCTCAACTCACTTCTGACATGGTAAATAAATAAATAACCAATTTCCAGCTGGACAATAGCTTCCTTTTCCTACCTGTTCATCATACGTTGCTTTATATCTCTCTAGCCTTTTGACTAGCTCCTCATGCTCTTCATCAAACTCTGCAATCTTCTTTCGGTAGTACTCCAGAAGTTCTCGTGAAGGGCGGAGGTAGGCCAAGCGCTCATTGATTGAAGGCAGAGGAGTTGAATCCTTCTCTTTAGGAGATGGGGAACCATGGCTGGTGGCTGGCCTGAACGTGGATGAACACAATAACTTACTAAAACTATAAAAACAGCCAAATACAAAATAATTGTGTGGCCAAGCAATAGCATAAAAATACACAATTTGCTCACTTTTAACTGGAGAACAAATGAAGGTCTGAACTGACATTTTATTTAACCATTTGAAGCTCCCTTTCTATCTCTTAGTTTTGTAAAAAACACAGCAAACTAAAACCAGAACATTTGGAAGGGAGATGTGCCAGTGAGGGAATCATAAATCCAGATTTGGAAAAATTAAGAAGGCCCTCTCTGGAACGTTTTATTGATTTTTTTGAGGAAGTCTGCTCCTCTTTGTTAAAGATGAGGGTGCATGGAGGGTTATCAAAAATTCAAATGCTTAGAAGTCTAGCTGATGACATAAATGTTATTTTATGGTTCAACAAGTCCCACTGAAACTACCAAATATTAATGTACAAATTTGGAAACATAAAACAAAGCATTTCACCATTATTTTTTAACCTGGCCATTCCTTATCCATGAGCTGCTTAAACTCGGTGATTTGTCACTCAGTTGAGGTTTTATTGTTTCTTATTTATGGTGCTTTTTGGAAAGTACTGATTTGTACAAACGATACACAGYAGTGGGTTGTTGTAGGTTTTCGGGTTCTCTTCCAGGAAGCAACCAACCAGYCTTTGAAGCTGCAAGGCTATTCAATGCTAATCGATAGCCAATTGCAACATTCARACTTGCTTCAAGCAGACAAGAGTTCTTTCTCCCACCCTGGACATTATATATCTGGYCATTATTCCAGATATATAAACCTCACTTGCCTAGTTTCCAACAGACCTAAAAGCYATYAAGAGCAATTGTAGTGTATAATTGTAATTGTTTGTACTGGCACTGAATTTTGCCATTACTTATGTGTAAACCGCTTTGAGTCCCCCTCGGGGTGAGAAAAACGGTATACAAATACTGTAAATAAATAAATAAACATTCAAAAAGCAGGYGAATTCTAGARYAGAATCAACCKGGGCCAGCTAACACCTCCCAACAAAGGATTCCCCCAAGGCCAACAAAGCAACCKACCAAGCTTTGATGCTACAAGGCCATTCAATGCTAATTATTATTTACGGCATTTATATGCCGCCCTTCTCACCCCGAAGGGGACTCAGAGCGGCTTACAATATATATTTTCAAACAATATATTATATTATTAGCATAATACAATATCAGTATATATTACTATATTGCACTATACCATTATATTGTAATATCATTAGTAATATTAATCTGAGGATGTCTGCCATAGATGTGGGCGAAACKTCYGGAGAGAATGCTTCTSGAACATGGCCASACAGCKRGGAAAACTCAKAYCYARKCA